TGTGTTTTTTCTTTTTTATTGTGAGCCGCCCAGAGTCACCCGTGGGGGAGATGGGCGGCATGCAAGCCGAATAAATAAATAAATAAAATAAATGTACCTGATTATATACAGCCTACAAAAGCATAAGAAGTCATTATGCATAATCCTTGGACAGTAGTAATCAAATTATGCCTTCTATAAATTTAAGAGATATTAGTAGTGCTTTGTTTTATTTTCTTCTTGCGATGTCTTAAAACCTACACATAACTTTGGTGAGGTAGAACCCAGCCAGTTCATTATACCTATCAATGGGTCTAGTAACACATGGGGGAGATTAGATTTCTGTACATAACTGGAGAAAGAATCCTCTGTAGTCAGAATAAACTGTACATTTTGCAAAGTAATATTCTTAATTTTCTTTCATCTGCAAAATTAGGTTTTCTTCAGAATTTGGAACTTCTGTCAAATATTGCATAGGCAGAAAGCAGCATAATCTAGAGAAGAGGAATAATGAGATGAGATAGAGTGTGAGGAAAGAGATTAAGGGCTCATCCAAGTTTGACCCCACACCCAAATAGTCTTGACACCTTGATCTCACATTGTCTCTGTTCAGGAGCTGACCCAATTTATTTCTGATGTAGCTGAAATTTAACAACAAATGCACCACGTGTTTCTAGAAGAAGTACTGAAACTCTGCGGAGCTTGCAAGGAGTGTATTTCCTCATTTGCAGGAATTCATTTCTCAGTTTGTCTTTGGTATTTCTTTCCCTGCAGAGGTTAAGCTTCATGCTACGATTCTTCTCTATTGTTTTAATGAACTGGGCAGAGAAGTGGCTCCTTGCTGGCTTCGCAGTACCCTCTCCCATTATGAATGCTCGGGTGGTTTAAACTCCAAACAAACAGAACATGGATTAGGAGTAAGATATTGGCTGAATACCTTTTTATCCACCCTTGTGTTGGTCATGTAAAGGGTGCACTGCTTTACCTTGTATAGCTTTCTCTGCTTTTAGAGGTTGGTGATAGGATAATCACAGATAAGCTTGAAATTTTAGGATGCTATGTGGCTCGACTCTGTCTCCCCTTTTATTTAACAACTACATGGAGCCTCTGGTCATCTGGTGGCACAGAATCAGGTGTTATCCATGTGCTTATATATCTCAGCTGTGATTCAACAAGAGATGTGGTTGAGGTTCTGCCCTTGTCCTGGAGACTGTGAGAATCTGGATAGGGACAAAAATACTCAGGTTTAATAATCCCAGAAAGATAGAGTGGCTTTAGGTTCAGAAGTCTTCTGATTCCAGTGATATTCCATCTTTGGTCCAGAGGGATGAGATTGCACTTCCCTATGCAGACCTGGTCCATAATCTGGGGTTTCTCCTGGATGCATAGGTCCTGCTTGAGTATGGGGCAGCTGTAGCTAGATTGGCCTTTATACAGTTGCACAGTGCCAGTTATGGCCTTTCCTGAATCAGTAGGCCTGGCTTATAGTTACCCATCCGTTGGTCACTGTCAGAAGCCTCGCAGTCAATTAACCTATCCTGCTAGCTTGCTTGCTATGGTTCTGCCATTACAAGAGAAAGCAGGGGGAGGGAGGGAGAGAGATAGAAGCTGAACCATTAGGCGCAGATGGACTATTATCTGTTTCCCAGGAATGCTCAAGGTCATACTAGCATGAGACCAGGAGAAACCCAGGGGCATGCGCAAGAAGGGCTATGGGACAGAAAGGGGGGAAGTGAAAGGGAAGGGGGTAAAACTGAGTTTGGCGCACGTGGGCTTTTAGTCTCAGCAATGCCTAGAACTATACACTAGTCTCAATAAATGAATTCTTCTTTGAACCTTAAATGGTTTCAATGAGAATTGCTTTTGTTGGGGTCTGAGTCTTGCAGCTTCTTACATATTGCTGAGACTCCACTTTTGGATTTTACCCGGAGCAAAAGTTCATCAAGAAAAATCCGACAGATAGCTTTGACTGGTGTAGAAGGTTGTGAAGGAATGGCTGAAGAAATCATTGAGGTTGAGGCCGGAGCAGTTGGCGGCGTTGCTGATCCAGTAGACAGACCGGACGAGGCGGCATCAAAGGCAATGGAGAAAGTGGTGAAGAAGAGAGATCAGAAGCTAGCCACACACAGGACCCAAATTCAAGACACCCAGATTCTGGAGGAGAGTGCGATTGCTAAGCCCTTGAGAGAGTCGTCTGTGACTAGGTGGTCGATGGGTTTCAGAGAGATCCAAGCATGCACTGGAGTGATGGAGGTGTCGTGTGGATAAGCTGGAAACGCAGCAGACTTTGGTGACAGACGATATGCGGTTGAAGACCTTGCTTGAGAGGGCGCTGGGAGCCAGGACCAGAACCCAGCCAGTTGGTGTGTTTTCTGACGCAGATGCGGATTTACCTGGAAAGATGTGGCCACCTATTCCAGGATGATCTGGAGAGGGTGGCCTATGTGTCAGGCTATCTCAAAGGTAAAGCAGCCGACTGGGTTGTGCAAGCACACAA